CGCGACGAGCTATCGGTAGAGAAATACTGCATAACTTGGGGATCAAGAGTAATCATTCCAGATAAGCTCCGGCCGCAGGTCTTGCAGCTGTTGTACAAGGATCACCCGAGATCAAGCCACATGAAAGCAAGAAGCTATGCAAGAAGCTATGTGTGGTGGCCTGGCCTCTACTTTTCTGTTAAGAACTATGTCCGACAATGCCGCAAGGGCCAGGCCGTCCAAAAAGCGGCTCCACCGGTTCCTTTGCAACCATAGAATTACCCCACAAAGCCCTGGCAACGCATGCACATAAACTATGCTGTAAAGGGTTCGCAGGCGTTCCTAGTCCTCGTGGACGTGTTCTCTACATGGATCGAGGTCTTACTAGGGTCATCCACTACTGCTAACAAAACCACTGAAAAGCTATGTAGCGTGTTTGCCGCGTATGGTCTGCCAGAGGTACTGGTGAGTCATAACGGACCCCAATTCATTTCAGAAGAGTTCGGGGCTTTTTTGAGACTGAACGGGGTAAGGCACATCAAGACGCTGCCGTACCAGGCGGCCTCTAATGGAGCGGCCGAGCGTCTGGTTCAGATGACCAAACAAACCCTGTCAAAGTATGTCTTACAGGACAAGGTTAGCGACCAGAAACACACATTATTGGAATGTTTGGATAGCTATCTAAGGAGCTATAGGAACACTCCCCACAGTACCACTGGCCAGACCCCGGCAGAACTATTTTTGAAGAGACGGCCAAGGTTAAAGCTTTCGTTGCTAAAGCCAGATTTTGAGCTCTCGATGCGTGAGCAGCAGCAACGTACCAAACTGCAAAATGACATGTCACACGGGGTTTCACGATGTTTTGCTGTGGCGGACGCTGTGTGGGTGAAGACAGTGCGAGGTGAGACGGTGTCTTGGGACGATGGTGTCGTGACACAGGTTGTTAGTCCCGTAACCTATCTGGTGAAAGTATCGCAGGCACTGTGATTTACGCATGCTGACCACATCAGAGCCCGCTACGCAACCCCGTATTCCGCAAGCCATACGCAAGTGCAACCTGTTCAACCCTCGCAAGACGCCATCCCTCAGATGGTTCCCAGGCCGTATGGGCCTATGGTCGGGTTGCCTCTCGGAGATCAACGCACGACAGAATCTGCCACAGTTCCCCTGCCGGCATCTACATCACCCACGGTCAGAACCGCTGCCTCTGGGTCGTCGGACCCTCCTGGCGCTCTAGGTGTGTCATCGGCAGCCGAATGTGCAACCCGGCGGTGTAGTGAATGTGTGCGACGTGGCCCGGACAGATACCAGCCGAGTGACTTTTGAAAGTAATCCGTGGGGGAAGGAGTGTTGTGGCGTGACTTCACATATTACCTGGGCATCCAGTACGGGCATTGCGGTGCGGTCTATCACGTGGTTCTCTGCCTATATACACGTGTGTGTTCTGTAATAAACTTATCATTTGTTCTTGCAATGCTGTTGGTTCCTCACGGTATAACAAAAAGAAACTTTGCAAGCCAAACATCGAATTGATGTGTTAGCTATGCAATTGGACCGAGTTGAGCAGTAATAATTGTCAGAAATTTTAGCCAGCTTATCAATAGAGAGGTGTTGCTAGAAGTCAGGGAAGAATTTTTCTACAAAAAAATATTTCCCAAGGTCTGCCACATGTATAAAGTGTGCAGGTGACTCTCACCGGCAGTTTCTAGCTGCTTTGGTTTTGCTTGTATTGTTTCGCTTGTATCGTTGCTTGTATCAGACACAGGGTTACATCTAGTGTGACTAGTCGCTCGTATTACGTGGTCATCACGCGCGTATGGGAGGGCAACAGCACTGTAATACACAACACATGCGCTGATTGAAACTGTCTTGTGACTTCATCTGAATTGAGCAAAAACGAGCTGAGATTTCGTGCATGACAGCACCTCAGCTTCAAGTTTTATGGGGACGATGTTTTGCGTCAGCCTGAGACTCCCGTAGCCGATCACGAGTTTGTTTTGTTTATATCCCCAAGTTGTCTCCTCCGCTGCAAGTGTAAATAGCTTCTGACCTTTGTGGATATTCTTATGGTTACTCAGGTTACGTGCGTGGTCCACACTTTGCTAGGGCGCGGTGTGGTGGTGCTGGCTGCAGAGCTTCTCCTAACGGCAAGAAAGCCCTCAGAGCACATCTTTGCCTGACTAAAGAGCAGTGCGATACATTTTAGAACTGCACGGGATATTGACCTTTTTTTATTACGATATGCACAAAGATGAAAAGGAATATGCTTTGATGCATATATTGGAGCGCGAATCTATGCAGAGTGACGTGGCTCATGGAAAGAGGTGACGCTAGAGGAAATATCAAAGTTCATTCGGCATCTCATTTATAAAGGGATTTTTCACATCACGGGTAGCCATATATATTCGAATACCTACAGGCTCTTGTCGCAAGGCAATGAAAATTTACTGAGGAGAGTGTATGAGTACACTGGCGTCTCACGAAAAACTATGCAATGCTTCACCGCATGGCATGAACAATGAAGCAGCAGCTCGATTCTGATTTTCTTTGTCTATGTGAAGAGAAACATTTTGTACATTAATTATTTTTATATTGTTTCTGGGTCACTTATCTGCAAAATGTATATTTTGAAGTTTCTTCAGTAATTCGCAAGAGTGGAAGCTTGGGCTAGTTGGTGCGTAGTCATATTTGCAAGATGTTTCAGCGCGCGAACAAAGGAAAAAGGACAGGGTAAACAGAAAGAGCGCTGACTTCCAGCTAATTTTGTTAGTTGGAAGTCAGCGCTCTTGCAAAGCCTCTGCCCTAGAAAAATTGCAGAGGCTTTGCAAAGGGGTCAATGCACCTCGTGCAAATTCTGCCTCGTGCTCTGTCGCGCACAGGACACGCTACGTCCCATGCGTAGTGGGAGTCGTATACTTGATTCCACTGACGTGTGGGTGCATCTATGTCGGGCAAACCAGCAGGTGCATAAATGACCGCCTCCGAGAACACCGAAACAATGTGCACAATGTGGCACAAGGGCATCTTGGCATTCATTGCCGAGATTGTGGGTGCACCCCTCTCTTTGATCAGTGCTCAATATTGGCAAGGCACAGGGACCAGCTTACCCGAGAAATTATCGAAGCCGAAAAAATACACTTGCTAGGAGATAAATGTGTAAGCACATCATCGATTGCTTTATCACAGGCTGAACGTGATTACCTGGCTGGGCTTTGAGGCAATAGAGGACCCGTCACACGTGTTTTGTTACTGATGTGTAGATTAGGCTTGCATTTTACCTTCATGCTCTGTTATCATCCTTTTTAGCAGTATATATTCTTGCCACTCTGTGAAATAAAGTTAGTTGGAAGTCAGCACTCTTTCTGTCTACCCTGTCTTTTTTCTTTTGTTCGCGTGCTGAAACATCTTGCAAATATGATTCTTCAGTAAGTTTCGTTGTAGCGCACGTAAATAACAGGAAGAAATGTACAGACACATGTACACACACATGTACATGCACATGTACAGACACATATGTGTCTGCATATGCCTTCACTTATGTCTACATATGTGTCTGTACATGTGCCTTCATTTCTTCCTGTTATTTACGTGCGCTACAACGAAACTTACTGAAGATGAGCTACCAACAAGCCCGCGTGGCATCTCTTGTGAACTTTATTGCTTACTTTTGTTTGTTTTGAATATTTTTGCATATATAGTGTTTTTTATTCCACTGTTTACCAGCTGGTGACGAAAAAATTTCACCCTTTTCACAAAGCTTTATTCATTTTAAAATATTTTTGTTGCTCTACAACCTATATTTTTTGAAAAGAGCATTTCATTCTGCAAAGTTTAGTATGCTGCAATGTGGGCTGGAGTACTTTTCAAACTGGCGAAAATGATCTTCCTGAGACATATGAAATACAACCATTCTTGCCTGGTAATGAAATAAACAAAAACCCCTACCACTCCCGCGACTCCCACATTTCAAAACCTCCGAGACTTCAAAAGTGAGCTTTGCTGCAAGGCTACATCGTCGTGCGGTGCAGCGTACTGCAAATTCCAAAGGGTGCGTTGGGGTTGTGGGCTGGATTCAGCACCTTGGAATTTCTTTTCTTCCTTCTTTTCATGGATTTGGTGTCCTATGACCTTTAAAGAATGACTCCCAACACCCAGAATTTCATAACCGATAACACACTGTGGGCATTGCTCTCAGTGGGTTATCTTATCATTAAAAATTGATGGTGCAGCAGATTTTCATTGGAATAGCCAATCATTATAAAACCGGTATTTTCATTAGGAGATTCAACTATAATTGGGTTTGCACTTGTATTTTGCATCCTTGGTTCATCTCTCTGTAAATGGATTTCTTTTTTAATGGAACATTGGTCTTTGGTTCCTTTCGGTTTCATTTAATGAAAGTCTACTACTGTACTTTGCTTGTTTAGATGAGGAATGCCTAGGGTGTTGTCGAAGGACCTTGCCTTACCATATATGGCGTCAGTTGCTCTGATTGAGTGCTCCCTTTTGTGACATTTGGGAAACTGGGGCATCCTTTTAAGTGCACAGCAGACTGACAATCAATGCGACCGGAGATTCTTGACGAGAGTGTCTGGCCTTTTACAGTGTCTGATTTAGTTGATGCATTTAAAAGAAGTCAGAGCCTACAATTTCAATTCCGAAATAAGACTGCATAAACAAATAATTGCTGATAGGTACAAAATTTATGGAGTAATGTATATGCTTGAAAATTCCCCCTAAATTTTACAAAGAAGTTAAGGTGGATAAATACAACCTAGTAAAAAAATATGGTAACTAGTCAGGCATCAGCATAAATTTTTTTCATGTAGTGGGAATAGGGAGCTGGATTAAGTGAGTATTACATTGTACAAGCATAGTTGAAGGACAGGGTCATTGTAGAAATTGCCCACCTTGCGTTTTCTACTGTCTATCGTCTGTTTAGCTTGATTGAGGTCGTCATTTCTGTCTCTTTGCTGACCATGTTTGAGCCTCTTAGCACCATGGATAACATCTTGCTGCAGGCATCCCATATCGAAGAGGATACCTGCTGTATGGACCTCCAGGTTGTGGCAAAAGCAGTTTCATGTGAGTTACTGTCATGAAAATTCCAGGAGAGCTGGAATGGAAGAACATACAATTAACAGTGAGCGATTGCACCAAACTGTGCCAAGAGGTCAAAGCTGCTCCATCTTGCCACATTTTGGCAAAAATCTCGTAATTTTCACCGATTGTGTGTCAAGACATTATATTTCAGGCCTTTCAGAAAAGAGCAAAAACTTGGAGGGTTCTTCAGTGTAGCATTCTTCAAAAGCACAGCTTGATAGCGTAATCGACCAACTGCGCATGGCCTTCTTGACTGCTAACCTGGGTTTATTCAGTTTTCAGCGCATGCCTCAACCCTGCCGTAAGGAAGCGAATGACCATGCATGTAACATTATTGGCCGTTTCAAATGATCCTACAATGCAATTACAGTTTTTAAGTTCGCACTAAGTCAAGTTCCGTGCTTTGTTAATCGGCGTAGGGCCCACTATGCATCTGTAGTAAACACATGATGTTTTGGCTACTGATGATTAAATATGTGTGAGCCACCCATTGCAAATGGGTGGGTTTTTAAAACACCCACTCGTTGCCCAATTCACAAGGTTATGCCTGGCATAATTCCATGCATCTGCCGTGCAGTGTTGCGTGCATTAAGAATACTCTGTATAATAAGTGACTTCATATCAAATAGGGTTTTTTTTTTTTTTCAAAGCAATTTCATGCAATGGCGTGCTCTCTGGTAAAACACATGCTTTTCCACGCATCCATACTTAGAACAGGAGGTATTTATTTATTTTATTTTATTTGCAGCTTTCTCAGTTCTTCAATGACGTATAAGATGATTTTTCGCTGACAGTCAATGATGCCAACACTGAAATTTCTGCAAAACAAGATCTTTATAGCTACTGATTTAATATAATAGGCTTTTGCTGTTCCCATCTGGTCGATCAAATTTTCAGTTTATGTGCGCAATGTTTTCTCGGCTATTAAAATGCAAGCGCACAATATTTTCTCAGGGATTTACTTTTGGCCGATTAAAATGTAAGTGCACCGAAGTCCTGGGCATGACCAGTCGTCTGGATGCTTTAATTTGCAAATTTCAAGTGCTGGCTGGTGCGACTGTGGGCTTGGGTACACCACAAGGGATGACCAAGTCGATGAAACGAATGTGCGAGAATGAACAGGCATCTAGCAGCGTTGATGTATCCTATGATGAGGGAACATAGAGAGAACTTGTACGCAGTCACCTCGTGCAGCAGTAAAGAAAAACAAAACAAAAGCTTTTTCAGTCACTTCAGTTAGAGCACAAACAGCAGCACTATGTCAAGTCCTGTCACTATAGGCAGCGTTGTCAAGACCAGCCACCTCATAGTTACATTTTTATGGCTCTGTATTAATTGTTTCAGCAGTAGTGTCTGTGCACGTGCTTTTAATGGTGGTAGTGAAAACTCACTACACTTGCAGTACTGCAGTGGATTTTATGGTGGGGGAGCTCAAACCAAGGCTCCGCGGCAGCTGCCACTCAGCGAGCCGGTTCCGTCAGCGATAACCTCGACTCAGCTGATCATCCAGGTTTTGGCTGGCCAGCGGCTTCTCCCATCCGTCCACTGTAGGATATGCTGCCTTTAAAATAGGCAGCATTACTCGAAACAATATTGAAAGCAGAACAGGAAAAGTTCAGTTTGTCAGCCCGAGTCAAAGTGAAGTTGCACACCAACACTCGAAAAATCAACCCGGTAGGGCTAACAACCGGCACAAACAGCAACGAGATTTTCTCGCAAAAAAGCGAAATTATGACTCCTTGAAAGCAGTAATGTCAATATTGCCCCATTACAATAAAATATTCAAAGTATAAAAAATAACAAAACAGGGTGTGAACTGAGGACCTGCAGCACGACCGCATCTCCAACTACACGTCAACCCACTGCACTTTCAGAACAGCTTGGAGGTGGCGTTCAAAACGACTACAAATTTACGGCAATGGGCTCCCCCTCACTTTTACCATTATAATACGGTTATGGGCCCTCTCACCATAGTCATTGCTTTACGGTGACGGGGCCCATCACTATAGTTGCGTCGCTGTTAAGATGGGCCCTGTCATTGTTATCAAGATTACACTACGCCATGCTGTAAGAATAAGTTAAGGTGATAACAGTGCACCTGACGCCGCGCTCAGATTGTGTTCGCCGCCTGGGCTGTGTCTGTTTGATGCGACAGATGGCGCTTGCGGAGGGTAGGCTAAGGCACTCACTAGTGAGCGACTCGATCCGGGTGTAGAAGGTTGTTGCTGCGGAGCCTCGCTGGTTTATTACGCTCTTTATACAAATGTGCAATAAATTAATACATTGTGACTCTGCTGTAACGAAATTGATTTCTTCATTTTATATGTAGTTTATCTGCTTACAGTGTTATTGGTGATGTAAATGCACCAACAGCAGCTGAGGTTCGCTTGCTGGAAGCATTTGAATTTTGACACGAGAGCACAAAAGATCTCATTTCGCTGAAATTGTGGTGTCGGCAATGTCGGCATCTTTGGTTGAGAAAAAAAAGCAGCATTGTTCGTGAAACTCAAGAGACAGTTGGATTCGGCGTGTTGGTATAACATCATAAAGGGTGCTCACCAGCTCAAACGACAGGGCAGGAGGGGACAGGAGAAGAGACGAGACAGAGCACTGACACTGCCAACAATTTATTTCTTGTGAAGGTATTCACTTTTATACAGTTATCAGTCGCACTAGTCATGCGCGAAACACAATGACAACGCATAAGTACATCACATTGACAAGCAAAGGAACAACTTTTCCTTATCGGTGAGCGCCACAGAAGGGGTGCTAACACAAGCAATTTCATTCAATGAGCAAATATTTTCTGCCTCTATGATCTCGCGTGTGGTACGATCCCTGCATCTAGCAACAATAGAACACTCTGAAAATATTGGCCGGCAGTCACACGTGCCGCAGTGAACGCACAGCCATCCTTGTTTATAGTGATCTGCATTGTACATATGTTCCCTCAGCTTCCCATTTATACAACGACCTGTTTAACTGACAGTAATACCTTCCACACTGTTGGGCTCGAACTTCGTGCGTTCCCCGAATACCTTATGTTACCCACCCAGCGGCCGGCGACCCCTCGCCAACAAGGAAGCAGGGCCACCGGAATGCGGGACGATGACTGTCTGCTGGCCACAAAGGACGCGACAACTCCCGTGCCGCTGTCGGGCTCAATTATGGCGCCTTACAGAAGACCAAGCCAGGCTGCAGGTGGCCGGTACACGTGGCCGGTACACGTGGCCAGTACACGTGGCCAGTACACGTGGAAGGTACACGTGGAAGGTACACGTACGCGTCCGCCGGACAATGAGAATCAGCGGAGGCGACGGCATTGGCGCAGGGGCCAATTGTATTGATGGCCTGTCAACCCGGCATCGCGGAAACTTTCTCGGAGGCGCTTTTCCACGACCTGGCAACGCCCGTCGTCGACCATTCCGGGAACCGGTGTGAAAGAAACCTGAGCGACGGCGGAGAACCGATGAGTGGGCAAGAGGCGGTGGGTCTTCGAGGTTGTGGCAAAGAGAGACACATCTGTGCGTTTTCATTGGACTATAAGAGTGGTGCGTTACGATTGGACTGTAAGAGTGGTTGAATGGGGAGACAGGGGATAAAACCAGGGGTGCAGGGAAAGTGAGGGGGGGGAAGAGAAACGAATAAACGTCTCTATATCTAGATGATGTCGGAGCGGTCGTTTCCTCAAGGTGCCAGCAGATGAAAAGTTCTCGTCTTCGGCTTCCTTGGCGGCAGCAGCAAATGTCGCGCAACAAGCGAGAGGCGAGTGGAAAGAACCAAACGGAACGTAACTCACACGATAACAGCAGCTGATACACCACATTACAGATGCAATCTCTGAATTTATTTGGATGTTTTGTAGTGCAACCGAAGGTGGGTCTGGACAGAAGAACGGACAGCTTGCACAGGCGACTCAATTTTTGAGGGGCTGTAAAGACCACCTTCACATTAACTCACTGTGCCACTTTCTTAAGATTGTGCGCTATCTTGTGCATATATGGAACCACGGCGAAAGCCTGTCTAGCTGTGAGAGGTGAGACTGCATTATCTGTCCCTTTGGCCTTAAGTTCACGCAGCAGGCCTTCGGAAACGGAAACTTGCACGTGGTCGGGGTAACCCGCCGACGTCAGCCTTAAAGATTGCTCAACAAAGCTTTCTGTAATCTTGTGCACTGAGGATTTTCGCAAGGCATTCATGCAGCAAGATTTTGCAATACCTCGCTTAACTAACTTAGAATGCGTGGAATGAAATGGCAAAACAGGCTTATTTCCACGCGGTTGATACATCCAGCAAGTGCGTCCATTATTCAGGAAAAGCTTACTGTCAAGGAACATGATTTCACAATTCTCAGAAAGTTCATGAGTAAGCTCAAAATGTTTAAAACCGTTTCGCATCAGGTCTAAAACTGTAAGAGCGTCATTCTTATACGATGCGACATCAGTGTCCATAAAAATTAGAAAATCATCTACGTATCTGAAAACGTGCGTCACATTAGTGTTAGTAAAAACTTCCGAAATGGATCTGTCTAATTTGCCTAAAAACAGGTCACTGACAATGGGAGCAATGCAAGTACCAATACAGATACCGGATTTTTGAAGGTGAGGTTTTCCATTTCGTAAGATGTACGTCGACTGGAAGTAAAACCTTAAAAGCTCTAAAAACAGCGCTCTGTCTCACCTCTTCTCCTGTCCCCTCCTGCTCCGTCGTTTGCGCTGGTAAGCACCCTTTATAATGTTCGTGAAAGGAAATTTGAGATAATTGCAATAAGGATAGCAGCCGATGGCGAAGGCACGCCAGCCATTAGGAAGGCGATAGTCTGCGTGCGTGCGCGCGCACGTGTGTATGTGTGTGTGTGCGTGCGTGCGTGTGTGCGTGAGAGAGAGAGAGAGAAAAAAAGAGAGAGCAGATATCACTCGTGTTCTGATGCTCAGCAAAATGATAAAAAAAACTTTGCCAGAAAACTTTCAACTAATGTATCA